GTATATATACATACATGCATACATACATATACATGTCCTGATTCGTATACATGCATATACACATACACATATGCATTCTGTTCCTTATGCTTCATCTTCCTACGTAATCTTGAATGAGTAGTCTTTCTGCAACTATCATGTTCATTTGCAAACATGTCAACATGAACATTTATGAATATCACTCGCAAGTAGTCATATTATTTTCATAAGAGTCAAGAAAATCTGTCATTTTCGTTGTAAATATATCGTCAATTGAAACAACCAATTATGACGGTTCTACTGTTATATTTCAGGGATTTTTATTTCAAAGGTATCATTACTTTTAATAATATTATGTTAGGGTACGTGTCTGCGTAATTATTGTGTTTGCTTTCGTTAGAATGAATGGATATACCTGAACGCCTATTAATCGTATGGAGATGGAGCAGTACATATGTTATTGATAATAACGCATGTACAATGTATCAGTACACATGATTATTGGTATAACTGGATCGAGTAGCGTGGGTCACTAGTTTCGTTCGTGGTACAGTTAAACTCGTTTGTGAGCAAATCATATGAGCAGTATCGTCATATAAATAATAGATTCTTAAGTATAGGTGTGCGATCATCGAGCTCGTTGTCAACGGGTACCACGATTTGTACAGCCGCCGCCCGTTTGACACTGAGTGCTGGTTGTTCGACGTCGTTAAACGTTATGTTCTTTGCCAAAACTTCGTGTCGTCTGTTAAGTTTTATTTTTATTTTTTTTTTTAATCTGCGTACGATCGCGGGGAGCAATGTGACATGTGTATTTTTGCTACAAATATCGTTAAGACTTTTTCGTTTTCTTAACACGACATTTAACATTCGACTCTTACTGATATTCGTGATGATATAAAAAAATCTCAGAATCTCAATGTAAGGTCGATATGTTGCACGCGATTAGTTCGAATTAATTACATTTAATAAACGAGATACGAGTAACGAGAGTAATAAATAAGGTAACGATAATTCCGCGCTACGTTGGGATTTGTTCTGGATTGAACTTTGACGAAAGATGTGCGCCTAAAGAAGTGGAAGTTTGAATTAGTTGGTTATTACATAACTCTGGAATGCATTTCTCAAATTTTTAGATTGTGTGCAGTAATGTAGTTGTCAAATTTTTTTGTTGTGTATATTCGAAGTAATTTTTCTATTTGAAGACTGATAAAAGTAGAACTTGTGAATGTACTTTTCTTCCACGTTACATTTGTAAAATGTGTCTTTCACACTATACTTGGATTCGTGAGCATGAGAATAAAAGATACTCGAGCAATTTATCCGTGTTGAATGGGACTTTCTATGTATTTGTGAATATGAAAACATGAAATTGTAACGTAAGATTTTCGTACGAAGGCATTAGTGCCAATTGGGAAGGTGATAACATATCCCATTCCAAAATGTATTTGTGGCAAAAATAGTCATCTAAAGTCTCTTCCAACTCATTTTTTCACATTTTATTAATAATGTGGATGTTTATTATATGTTAAGTAAATGCAAATAATCGATTGCTGTAATGACAAATTATTTCTTTTTGTTTAAAGGGAGAGCACCCGGTTCACGCGGAACTTTAAATAAGCGATTGAAGTGACTGAATGTAAAACATGATACAAGCATGTATGGAAATTATTACATCCACGTGTACCTGGTAACAGATCTGCGCTCTAATCAAGACAGAACGACAAGTAATAGTCTGCGTTTCGCTTGAACCGTGGTATTTGATTGCATCCATTTGATACTTGGGATATAATGACTTTGTGTATCGTGTTAAGTATATGATATAACTTAACTCTCGTATTATAACATGTTCTGACGAGGGTATAGACTTCCGGAGCAAAGCAGAGTGCCGTACACGTCGAGAGAAATCGCGATTAAAGTTTTTTTATTTTCTGTTTTTATCGCAAATTTTCGTCCATCTCTCCTTTTTCGCAAACATTTCGTTATTTTCTCGACGTGAACGATGATATGTTCCCCGAGTCTAAACCCATAAGTTAACTTATGTCTCTACTCTGTCTGCGTACCTATTTGCGTAATTAACTCATTGGTCAACCAAGAGATCGATTATTTTTTGGTAATCGGTCGCGTCGTCTCATTGTCAATATAATCTTAAGATTACTCTACGTATCTTAAATCTGCTCCACTTGTATATCGTACCATTATTGATTTGAGTGAAAGTTTCCATAATTCTAATATATCAAGCATTATATTTTTTCTTTTCTCTTTCTCTCTCTCTTTATTTCTCTATCTCTCTTCTCTCTCTTTCTCTCTCTCGTACACCACAATTTCACGTTAAGTTACGTTAATTATTGTTTAGGAAAACGCTACGAAACACAAGAAATAAAGATTTTAATAAAAAAATTTATTTGGATATTTATATATATACATGCACCCTGTTTATATTTTCAGATTGTTAAAATATAAGAAAATATAAAACGAATGATTTTAATAATTACTCGCGCCATATTACCCATATCTTGTCTCTGATAATATCTAATGTAATTTAAAGGGAGAGATTCTGGATTAGAGGATCAAAATTTTAGATTTTTTTGCTTTAATCAATAGTATTTCTCTCCAAAAATATATTCGCAAAGTTTTAGACCGAAATTTAAAATACTTCTGTTATAGCCTGAGGAACAGGTATGCGCAGATGTACAGCGCAAGCACCTATTGTCCTTTACTTCTCGGTCCCTAGCAGGTGTTATTGACCTTAGCAGATGTTTATTTTCAAAGAGAGCATATGCAACATTTAAACAAGAGTTTTAATTCCATTTAGCGCTTCGCTTCAAAAGTATTCTGGCGCAAAAATTATCGAAATAGCATGTCTTCAATGAAGGCTATTTTGATATTTTAATAATAAAGTTGCTGAAAATAAATATTGGCCAACATTGTAAAATTTTCGCTGACAATTACGACGAGCAACGAGTTACGAGGTAGGAACGGTGCTGATTAAGCAGTACGAAAGAGATTCGTATAGCTCAGCTAGATTGCAATTAACGCTACAAAATGAGTTTTATAAGGAAGCGGAAGGTTGCTGTATGGGTCTAGACTAGCAGTTAACGGTAAGTTGCCAAAAAGCACTATTTTTCGACCAAAAGCTTTAAATGCATTTTTTCAAAATTACTTTTTTAAAATTGGTGTGTAAGATTACTCAAAAATTATTGGACCAATTGAGTTCTTGTAAGTTTGTTATATAATTATCAACTATTCTAGATGAACTAAAAACGTTTATTAAAAAAAGTTAGTATAAATAATTATTTCTGCATAAATTAAAATTTTTTGTTTAAAATCGTTACTTTTTTTTCAAATTGCACAATTCTTACAATTTGATACTTTTTTCCTACTTTTTTTTAGTTCATTGAGGATAAAATATTATCTAATTAAAAAAATTTTTGATTTTTTTGTTTTAGGCAAGAATTACAAGCTTCAAATTGTACGCCAATTTACAATTTCGATGTTGAAACATGATATTAATTAATAAATAATTTTTTATTATATTTATTATTCATTTATTAAAAAATTATTTTGTATTCAACAAATTTCCTATAAAGTTTTGGAAAGATCGGCTTCATGATTCGTTTATAATTAAAACAGCTACTTTTCAACATTCTAAACCAGATTTTTTCCTTAATAATTCAATATATTAATAGTATAATGAAAAATGTTCGAATCAAAATATGAAATAAGATACGTGCACCAAAAGATACTGAGTGAATATATGTACGGAAAGAACTGTTTTATTGAAGTATCTAAAAATTTAGCTAGATATGAAAAATAATTGTGGACTATCAAAATAATTATGTAAGACGCTCAAATATGATGATGATAATGCCGCAAAAAATGTTGAAATTCTAAAAATCAGTTTGAACGTCCAATGTAATATTACGAACATAATTATTTTCAGATCTTTGAGCAGTATTTTTAGCTAAATTTTTAGCTTATACTTTAATAAATCTTTTCTGTATACGTCCGCAAATCGTGGCACATAAGTTGCGCACAATGAAAGGAATAGAGAATTGATTGCTACTTAAATTCTTTTTGGAATGCAACTTACATGAAAGTTAATCCAATCTTAAAAAAAAAGAGTAGCTTAAGTTTTCAAATTTTAAGAGTGAAATTTTACTCTTTAAAGTGAGTATTCACTTTAAAAATTTTAGAGAGTGCATATCTCGAAAAAGTGAATGAGATGAAAATTAGAAAAGTAAGCAAATTTACTAGAATATAATTCCATTGGTCAATATAATGAATTTGCCCACTTTTGTAATATTTTTCATCTTGTTTCAAAATAATATATAATAATAAAACGTAATTGATCTTTGTCGTCGGTTCTCTATTCCTTTGATTGTATGCAGCTTTTAAATGAGATGCGCCAAACTTTTGACGATAGAATCGATCGAGAGATTATCATAAGACTTGGAACTGTGTTTAGTATGTGTGAGCAGTGAGCATGCTGAGATCCGAAACATTGACTACGTTTACACGAACACGCTTAATCGTGTTTAATAACATCCGTAGTTAGAAACTGGTTGAACATACTCTCTTCTTCAGAGGAATAGCTACGATTGGTCAGTTTCATAACTGCGGATGTTATTAAACACGATTAAATCCGATTAAGGTTGTCCGTGTAAACGTAATCATTGTCGTGCCTTTTATTAACGGCCTTTGCAAATGGTAGTTCGTCTGATACGAATCATTTTGCTGTATACAATCAAGTATGTATATTTGCTTAAAAATTGCTGATTTAAAAAAGTAATGTAACCACGCTGCGATGAAAGAGTTAACTTCACGCGGAACGTTTGTCACGATCGTTTTCTGTTGTATACTGCGGTTGTATTGCGACGCGACGCTTTGAGCATCAACGTGAAGTTAACGTCACGTGTTTCAATTCGTAACGAATGCACAGCGCGTTCGGTCGGCTGAGTGCGTCCAATATGTTTTTCGTCATTTTCGCGTTTTTCTATATCCGTGTCTATATCCGTCATACATCGTGATCGATGGGCGAGCATTAGTTGATAAGTGATTCATGGTGGGATTATCGGAGTATCACAATCGGATTAAATTCGGCGGAGCATGACGGAGTGATAATGTGACGACCGGTAAGTAGATTCGTTTTTCTTCCGACATTCATAATTATATATTTAAAACTGTGATTAGAATTATTGACAGCATATTTGATTATTTATGAAGCGGCTTAACTAAATTCTTTCTTTTCTCGAAGAGATT